CATCTGTGACCCATCTTGAAAGGGTTAATTGATTATATTCAACTAATCAATTATTCTCACAAATCTTGGATAATTGAAATAATCGAAAATAGTAATAACCAGAACATTAATTTTGATTAGTTGTTATTTTTGTGAGTCGTGACACTAATCAATTAGGCTGAACGACTTTGATTTAATCAATAATAACAATGATAAATCATAATGGCAATATTTCAACTACATGGAAAGTTGGAACAATTAGAAACACTAATTTAATCATTATTTAGATCAACTGATTATCTTACATCCTTAATGCTGATTACCTCTTCAATGGTATGTGACACACACATCATAGGGATGTTGTTGGTTAGTCTTGATTTGGTGCGAAACTACCAAATAGGCTATCTGCGTTCTGTTCCCCATGATAAACTGAACCCCAGAATTTAGCATTGTAAGTCCGTAAGTTTACCCACTGGAGGGCCCATAAGGGTGTAAAAGTTATCCATTATAATAGTTTCATATAGGACCACCAGAGCAAGGAGAGATATTTTCTGAGACCATCAAATGGTGCAATACTTTTGATGACAGGTCTAACAGAATGTGTGATAATAGTGCTAAGTGACTTGATTATATAATGTTAATTGTATTGGATAGCCATATAACATGTTTGTAACTGATGTTCATAGGCAAGTTCAAGTATATAAATTAATCATGTTAATTGCCCAGCTCTAGTGCATATCTAAGTGAATATCATGCTTATAATATCATTACTATGAAAAGCATACTTTGGATAGCAAACATATCTGAAATAAAAGATCTCACACTTCACACTTAAACTGTTTTGGTAAAAAAAAACATAAATAAATGTTTGGAATTTATGTATCTTACTTTCATGTGTTTTTTTGTTATTTTCACCTAGTTGGACCCAGACTGTATATTACAAATGACCAATGATTTTTAATGTGAAAACTGAGTTTACACCAGCTCATATTCCATTTCTTTGGTCACTCAACTTTTTCACATTTTTACATTCCATACACCATGAATCTAGCTCTTTCCAAAAGTGTTATCAAGGTAGGAAATCACAGTAACATTAACTTTACAGTGTAAATAAAAGCTAGTTACAATGTTGCACAAAACTATTTAGGAATTAATAAAGAAAATTATAGTATATTTTTATTTTGAAGCTATTTTAAACAATTATAGATCTCTTTCCAAATTTTCATACATTATTAGATTAATGTATCTGACTTATTTCTTTATATACACCTGCTTTCATGTCAATCAGTGTATTAGGCTTCTCTAATCAATTCCAAAGTTTATACACCAAAAAATATATCAGTAGTTAATAAAGTTCTTACCTCTAACAAATGAAACATCAGACTTAAAATTTGTTTCACATAAGGTTTCAAGTTTTCATTGGCAGGAATACGATGAATTATTTCCAAGATTAGTTTTCGAAGTTGCTATTTAAAAATATACTTCAAAAAATGTATAGTCATATCCACAACAAGTTTTCAAATATTTTACTACTTTAAAAGGGTTTTTCAATACAATATAGCAATATACTTTATTTTAGAAATAACTAATAAACAAAGACCAATTATATTTCCATAATGTTAAAGACATTTAAAGTTAATGATAGGCTGACTTTTTTGAATATTGCTTTGAAGAAAAGAAAACTATCTATTTTTGGTTCTACAATACACAATAAGCATGTTCCAACTCACAATAAGTAGGGACTGGCAAGATTATAGATTAATATAATTGTAATTTCCACAATGTGTAAGAAACAGAACAACTTGAATGTAGCATAATTTAGTCGTAGTAATTCATTTCAAGATATATGTGGAAATAATTTAATTTACATATCAGCCTAAATGTAGGAAGCTTATAATTTAGTGCCAGGAAGGATTAATAATTATGATTATTATTTATCTTATTTTTTATTTAATAAAACAAATTTATGATTGTAGCCATATCCTGAATATTTATATATTCTTTCTAATAAAATTTGCAAAGTATTAATTCATTCACTGTTGGGTGAGTCTAATGCATCTGACACATCAAAAGTTCAAATTATTGTGGAAGACAGCTTAAAGCAGCAGAAGCAAAAAAAGAAAAAAAAACATTTTTTTTCTTCTAATTTCCTTTAGATACATCATAAACTCCTAGTGATTGGAAGAGAAAAAATATATCAATAGCTGAGTGCACATAAAATATAACTGAAAAATATAAATTCTTCTTTATTGTTTATACCATGAACACAAGTATTGTTATATCAATAAAAACCAAAAGAAAAACCCTTCAACCAAAACACAATGATATACATATGTAAAAATAATTAAATTTTATATAAATATGTATATTTTGATTATGACAAAACTGTAGTGATAGTAGCTGTTCACTATCTTTACTCTAACCAGTGTGCTTTGATAAAATTGAAACTAGACATCTGGTATCTTGTTGCCAACTTTGAGATCTTTTACTGAATTATTATTAGAAAATACCTGAAGGTTATGCTCAGCCAGGAACTGTGGTTCTCCTTCTTGTAAGATCCTTAAGAAGATACGCATAGCATGTTCAAGAAATGAAGGATATTGAGGTGATGCCACAATTGTCTGTAAAATAACGTAAAATTAAGTCTGACATTCACCTACATGTATATGATAAAGAAATACACAATAAAAACAATGTATCAATGAATTAAATATTCTCAACAATAACTAAGTTACATTATGTAATCTCAACTTGTTCAAATGCTATTTTTCATGATAGTGCTATTAAACAGATAATCTTGTTCACAGACAAATTGTTAAAAATATCAAATATCTGTTATATTCTCAAGGCTGCTGAAGTAAATTGTAACCCTCTCACCCATTTCAGTTCCTGGTAGTTACTATTACAAATGTGATATCATGACACTTGCTGTAATTTTCAAAAATTACTCTAATGGGATGGAGAATTACGGAGTCTGATATTCCAAAAAATACCAAGTCCATTACAACTACAATTTTGTTCCATAAGTGTGGTTTATTTTTTCAATTAATATGGAAATATAAATCTTTCTTTCTGAACAAAATAGTAGTAGTAAAAAGACTAGAAAACTAGTTTTGACACATTCAGGCATCCTTTTCAGTCCAACAAAGTGTTTTGTATATTATTTGTTGATTAATTTAGGCAATTCTAATACCCAACAAGGCCTTTTGTCTAATACCAGGGCTCATTGGTTCAGCTGGGATATGACAGACATAGTAGTGGTCCAGTTGATTAGTGGTATATTCTAATCAAGTAAGTTTACATTTTCCTATACTAAAAATGTATTTCCAATAATACTTACCTCCTTTCACATTTTAGCTTTATCCCGACAAAAGTTTCTCTTCACTGGTCATCTAGGCATTGGTATGAATTACACCTTGCTTGCTCCAGTCTTTATATCCCACTATATCACCCATAGCAATTTTAATCTTGTGACTCTCTCCACTTACGTCAGTGCACCCACTATACCAGTTCTGTATATAAGCTTCCAGTTAACACTTCTTATTCACTTTTTCAAGACTGGCAAAATTATCAGCCATTGTGGGGAGGAAGGGAAGGATAGCGTGAAGGAGGCAAGTATTATTGGAATTGCATTTTTAGTATATGAAAATGTACACTTCTGAAACACATTTAACTCTACTCACAATTTAGCTAGAATCCCACACTGACAAGGTGGAGGGGCCGATGAGGGCAAAATCCACACAGAAAACTTCCACGTATCTTGCGCGTGAAAAACTTGTGCAAATTGAGATATAGTATAGTACACTAGTGGGGTCAGCACTACTCCTGGAACAGATATGCTCTTTGACCGGATAATGTGAAATCGACAATGTTGGCAGTAAAGGCTAACTGGCCAAAGTGTTGAAACCGTAACATCAGAAGAAAAATGCAAGAAGAAACATCTATTCCAAAACTGGTTCCTCTTGCAATACCAGATGCATCTGATCTGGAAATATTAGTGTGCTCACAAAAGTCGTCCAGGCCCCAACTGTGCAGACAATGTCCCAGGTATTGTTGTTGGAATAATAAAGCTGTGGACCCAAAGCTAGATCCAAGGTGCAGTGAATACGGAATAGAAACATCAGTGTAATATAACTGTATTATAGTAACATGATATTAAGAGAACCCAACCTGAAAGTTACAGAATGTTGCATGCAAGCCACTGGAATTATGAAGAGAAGGCAAGCAACACCCAAGTGGAGAACCCTTCCCCCCTACCTGAAGAAGAACAGAATGCAACAAACCGAACTCAGAATTACAGGGCCCATTCACGCCTCACTCGACCTGAAGAACAGAGAGTATACGGCCTGGGATTACAAATCAACATCCTACCACCCCAATCTAAGAGGTAAGGCAACACCTCTGCCACCGGAATTACAAGGAGGATGTGGAACAAACAAAGTTCAAACAATAGCTCAAGGACCCTCTTCCATGATTATGGAAATTAATATAATGACCAAAAAAAGGGTCACATTCAACACAACTGAATAGAGAAGTGTACTCTCTGAACCAGAATTATGAGGAGGCTCCAGCGTAGACCTGCCCTGCTTCCACCAGACATCTAGGGTTATGTGTGAGAGGGTACCCAACTTTGCCCTCTTCTGCCTAACTCTTTCAGCACAAGCTCGGTATCTGGGACCAACGTAATAAATATTTTGTGCTTGTTAGAGTTTTCATGATATGATTTTTAAATTAGTAAGCAATTGTTAATGAAATTTGGCAGATTATCAGTAAACATTACAATGCTTTCATATGTAAAATATAATTATTTTTTTTTATTAAG